CGGACCGTGAGCGGCTTGCGGCCAAGGTCGGGCAACGTGATCTAAACCGGATTCATGACCTCAAGGAGATAGAATTCCTGAGGAGGGACTTGGAGCGGCAGGTCAGAGAGCGTGAATTGCAAGTTCGAGAGGAGGCAGAGCTTCACCGAAGGAGATCAGAGGAAGAGCTGGAGCGAACGTGGCGTCGTCGATCCGAGGAGGAAGCGAGGAAGGCGGCGGAAGAGGTCGAGCAGAGGTGGCGCCTCCAACATGAAGAAACGGAACGTCAACTTTCTCAACGGGTCAACGAGCTAAACCTGACCCTTATGGAGGAGAGGCATTCAGCTCGGAGTTCCCTTGATGAGGCCCGGCGCTCGCTCGAGAACGAGCGTCTCACATATGAGGGACATATGGCTCGGATGGAGTCTGATCGCATTTCAGACTATGGCCGGGGTTTCTATCGTGGAGGTTTGGAGGTCCAAGAACAATTTTATCGTGGACTGGAGCCTTACTCTGATGGACTAGATCCTTGGCTGAAGTTTCCAGGGGTCCCAAAACCCATGGGACCAGAGCCTTCTTTCCTTCGTTCTTCTCCCTCGCCTTGAATTTTCAAGTCACTATTGTACTTTGTTTAGGAACGGTCCTCATGTGCATTTGTATTGATTTTTTTTTTACTTATCTCATGGACCGGAACAATTGATGATGAATGGGAAATTTCTTCTTCATATTAAGCACAGTACAATCCATTCTCTTTGAACAAAAGGGAAAAAGAAAACTTTGAAAAAGAGGCTTGAAAAATTATGGGAGGACGGAACTTTGAACATGTAGCTTTTACTGGTAGAATTTTTTGAGATGCTCCACATTCCAATAATTGTCCAATGCCTTCCCTTCCGATGTAGCCAACTGATAGGTGCCTGTACGCACCACCTTCTCCACACGGTACGGTCCTTCCCAGTTCTGGGCTAATTTTCCTCCTTTAGTGGGCTGACTTTTCTCCCTTTTACGTAGGACCCAATCCCCTACTTCAAACGTCCGAAGTACAGTTTTTTTGTCATGATACCTCTTGGATTGCCGTTGGTACTCCTCCGCCTTTACTGCCGCGTCGTCCCTCCTTTCTTGAATGAAATGGGAGTCCACTTCCATCAATTGCTCATTGAGGCTTGGAGTGTATGCTTCCACCCTTGTGCTAGGGACCAAGACCTCCGTAGGTACCTTTGCCTCAAAGCCATAAGCCAAGGCAAAGGGAGTCTCCCCTGTGGCCCTCCTTGGGGTAGTCCTATGGGCCCACAACACATAGGATAGCTCTTCTACCCA